GGGGTGAGATGATATCTCATAGTTGTTTTAATTTGCATCTCTCTTAGGGCTAGGGATTTTGAGCATTTCTTCATGTGTTTGTTAGCCATCTGAATCTCGTCTTCGGTGAAGTGCCTGTTCATATCCTGTGCCCATTTTTCTATTGGATTATTTACCTTTATCTTGTTGTGGTGCAAACAAGACTTTCTGAGGAAGTGTAACTAGGATGTGCCTGAGAGCCAAGGATGGTGAAGCTTTGTCTCTCATATTTTGGGCATGCTGTTAATAAGAGTCAGTCCTTGGAAAAGGACATCATGCTGGTAAAGTGGAAGGTTAGGATAAGAGAGGAAGACCTTCAGTGAAATGGATCGACACAGTGATTGTAACAAGTATATCAGAGATGGTGAGGATGGCACAGGATAGTAGAGAGTGCAGATCCATTGTCCATTGGGGTACTATGAGTCATAGGTGTCTAGGTCATCTAACACACACACAAATTTAAACTCAGCAGGTGACAGAGGGAAAGTAAAATCAATGTCAGAACAGCTATTATCAAGAATATACCCTGACTGGAGTGGCTGAAAACTCTTCGAGAGATGTTCTGCTTCTCTTTTCTCCATTAAATATATAAAATAGTATGACTTTTACCTCACACATATTAAATGTTTTGTGACATTTAATACATACATATTTTATCCAGTATACATGCATATTTAAACCACTACATAATTTTTAAAATGATATATCCTGACATTTGTTTCATGAACTGCAAATAAACACATCCATCTGTCTTATTCCTTTACATGATTAAGTTGTTGGTAAATTGTCTTTTTTTAAATATATATTATAAAGTCTGGAAAGCATCTTTTTAAAAATTGATAAAGGAATCTATGAGAAGCAATAAGATCATTATTGATCTAAAGGCAGCTACAAATCAGCAGTGGAGTGTTCGTAAACGTGTTGGGTCATATTTCCTATAGCTATGTTACGACAAGAATCTATGGATACCTTCAGGTCTTGCAATTGTGCAATGAGTTTGAAAAGTGGACAATCTAGACACTTTTAAAACTAAAACTATTGAAAGAAAGAAAAACAAAATCTTAACATAGCTTCTTTAATTTTAACTGGTTTTCATCCTCATATTGCACCTAAAGCCCTTCAACCTCTTTATTTTAGTAACTATTTTCTTTGAGGACTGTTGAGAAAATGTGTGAGCTGTAGCCCTCCAAAACTGCTGAGTCACTCAACATGTGAATGTTAACAGCCTCAGCTGAACCTGTCTCCTGAAGATAACGTGGACTGTCCATGGCTGGTGGGATTCTGAGCCCAAGAGAGAAGTTTCTTTCTTTTTTATTTCTGTCAAATATTTGTTTCCTATTACCTATATCTGACTCAGACTAGACACTTCTTTGTGATTCATCTCCTAATTTCTCTTGTGGATACATTTTATTTTACTAATTTCTAGATCTTCAGAGGGAAAATGGAGCAGCTTCCAAAGGAAACTGTGAGTATGGAATTGTCTGCAGTGAAAGTTGCCACTAATATCACTGGGGAAACTCTAGAAAGTGGTTTATTTCAGTGAGCATAATTTTTTCAAAATCTGTCCATGTTGTGGCCTATATCAGTATGATTGAGAGACTTCACTTGTATGACATTTGTAAAATATGAAAATGTATAGAGATCAATGTTTATTAGCAGTTACTAGGGAAGGCGGCAGCAAGTTGAGGTAAAGACTGCTGCTAAGGGGACATTGAGCTCCTATTAACAGTGATGGGAAATTTTGGAAATGGATAATGGTATTTATTAAATATGAGAAATGTAATTCTTTTTATCAATTGTATAAGAAAGTTGAGATAGAAACAATTTGTATATTTGTTGTTGTTGTTATTATGTGCTGTTGAATCAACCACAAGTCAAAGTGACTCTGTGAACAGCAGGTCAGAACCTTGCCCTATCCTGTGCCATCCTCATTATCTCCAACATGTTTGAGCCCATTGCTTAGGGTCACTGTGTCAATCCATTTTGTTGAGGACTGTCCTCCACCACATTTTTCTCCACTAAAGTGATTGGTAGGTTCAAACTGTTGACCTTTCCATTAGCAGCCATAAGCTTAACTACTATACTACCAAGGCTCTTTCAGTTCCATATCTATTTATAAGGATGGAAAAAGAGAATTAATATAAAATATTCCACCTTTTCAGTTTGTGCTTATGTATGTAATTACAACAATTTTTATGAGGTTTCATTTCAGCACTTTTTGATGACTTTTCACTTTGAGGTATAATCTTGAGTTTAGTGCATTTAGTTTAAGATCCAAAAATTATTTTAAAATGTTTTAAATCTCAATTTGTACAGAATACAGTGAGGTAATCTGCAACAAAACAATACTTAATAAAGACTGGAGAGTCCATACAATGTTTTCATTTTATAACGGCACTTCCAACAATGGTGATGGTATAGTAGCAATTATATTTAAGAAAAAGAAAGGCAGAATGGAATTTAAACCATACATTGAATGTCCCGGCAAAATAATCTTGGATAAATTGCTCAGTTATGAATGAAATGGACCCTAAAGGGATGTTTCTGGAATCTGTTACAGGCAGACTTGATCCATCTGTAGAAAATGGATAATTTACTTCTGAAAGTACTGAATTTTATAATTTAAATACTGAGATCTGAAATGTGATGACTTTACCGAATCAAAATGTCTTTCATTATTACCCAAGAGCAAATAAGCTCATAGAACTTAATGAGTACTGACACAAGGCTAAGTGAAAAGTTAGAAGTGCGCTCTGGACAATCAGGAATGTTCAGCTTAAGTGATAGCTGTATGTAGTTAAAATGATATAAATACACTGTAGTCTGGCAACATTTAAGGGTCTTCTATAAGCTTCAAGAGTTCTGAACTAAAAGAAATACCTTGACGAGCATAACTGGAGATGTAAGCTCCATATATTTTGTAGAGCAAAATATAAAGGTTTTTTAACTTGCAGGTTTTGGAAAGCAGTGGGCCAAAGGTGTTGGAAACAGCTGAAGAGATCCAGAAGCGGCGTCAGGAAGTGTTGGCTCGTTATGAGAGGTTCAAAGAGCTGGTTGCTGAGAGAGGTCAAAAGCTTGAAGATTCCTATCACTACCAAGTTTTCAGGCGGGATGCAGATGACCTGGAAAAGTGGATCATGGAGAAACTCAAGATTGCAGGAGATAAGAGCTATGAAGACCCAACTAACATACAGGTCACTCAGTACTGTTTACTTCCTCAGAACATACTCTAAGGCCTATAGGGAAGGGATGGGGGAGACATTTGGTTTTTATGTTACTTTTGGAAAAATGAATATGGGCACGAACAGATTCTATTTAGGAAAAAAAAAACAAAAATCTAGTCAAGTGGGAAATTGTAGGAATTAAACCAATCAAAAAAAATATCTAAGGGTGCATTGTTCTTCATTAAGTAACAAGGTATCTTTGTTATTTGGTGCTGTTGTATAAAAATACTATAAATAGATGGTGTTAAAAACAGAATTTATTCTCTCACTATTTAGAAAGCTAGAAGTTCAAATTCATGGCACTATGTAAATGGGAAGGACATTCTGGTGGCCTAGTATAGTAGGTAAGGAGCTGTGCTGCCAACTCAAAGGCAGGAAGTTTGAATCCACCAGCTGCTCAGAGGGAGAAAAGATGGGTTCTTTTTTTCCATGGGATTTACAGCTTCTACAAATCTATTGGAGGGTTAGCTATGGATCCATTCTAACTTGACAACAATAAGTTAGCAGATTTGTTTTATTTTAGTGGCTTCCTCACACTGTTGAGAGTTCACTGTTTAGGAAATTGATTCTTTTTTTCCATTCAGCATTGACCTAGATTCCTTGGAGATCTCCATACATTCCCCTGGATCTAGGAGGTTCCCAAAGCAGATGTCTGCATCGAGATTAGGCCCTTTCTTTTTCTACTCATGTCTTTCTCCCTTTATCTATTGAAAGAGGAACAGTAGTACATGCCACATCCTAAGAACATTCCCCTTACATGAGATCAGGGCTTTGGCCTAAGTAAGGTTGCAGCATCTCACCTTAATTCCCTTATAAATGATTGGTTCATCACATCATAGGGGCCATTACATTACTGTCAAACTGTGGAGAATGATGGCCAGTCAAGTTGACATCTATTTTAGTGAGGGACACAATTCAGTTTTTGAGGTTAGACTTTGGAGAGGTGTAATTGAGAAGTCTGTCCCGCACAGTGTTTAGATCCTTATAATACAAGATTTTATCTAGTTAACTACACAAAATGTTAGAAACAATTGTCTTGTTAAGGACAATTCTAAGCTCCTAACCTTAACTTCTTAAACATTTTATTTGAAAATAAAATATACTTCTACATAGCTTTTAATGGGTAATATTAACTGAAGTCCCATTAAGAGCAAAATAGTCAACAACAGCTTAAAAAATTCAGAACACACAATGGGATTTCAAGATTTTGTGGTATTAAGGATAGAGATGGGGGGAATAAACAACACTATGGAAGCAGGAGTGGCATCCATTTCTTAAACAACATGCCTCTGGAAACTCAATGAACTTTGATAAATGAAGATAGTTATAGAAAGGCTTCAGGCCTTTTGTTAGTAGGGTCGTTATGAGTTGTGTTCAACTTGATGACAACCAACAACAATCTCTGAATTATCTGTTCTCTCATCTTCTCAGAAATACTTTTGGAACCAAATTAGACTTTTTTTCCCCTCAAGTGGCTACTCATGCTTGTTAGTCTACATGAGAAGTCTTAAGGACATAAGTTCACTGGGAGCTGTCCATCAATACGTGTTAGCTAATATTTTAGCATGCCAGATCAGAAGAAATGGTTATATGCCGAAAAGAGACAATTGATGTTTGAGAGGAACATCCATAAAAAGAGAAACGTGAAACCTATTAAATGGATCAATTATATATGATGAGAAGAAGAATTCCTGGCATAAAATAACTTTTCCACTAAAAAAATAAAAATAATTATAATCATCATCAGTCTTACTGTGGTCTACCTTCAGTATTTCATATTGCTGTTTTCTAAAGTAGAAACACTATACGTTACATACAATCTTATTCTCAAAGAAGTCAAACAAGTCTTTAAAACAAGGAACATTTTTCAAGATGTTCCTTAAAATAATGGGAAAAGTTCTTTCTCTATGTTATTTAGGGGAGGTCTGGTGGGCTAGAGTGTGGGGAGTAACCCAAAAGTGCTAACCCATATGTGATATTTTTCTGTTGAATTGAATCTACTAGTGGCTCCACAGAGAAATATGGGCAATTTGCTTGTGAGAAAGATTTCTTTTTTTTTTTTTTTTGGCTATGAAGTTGGTTATTTGTTAGGTTTTCGGTGGTTTTGTTTTGGGGGGGGTGTTTCTTTTCTTTCTTTTTAAATTTTTTTTTGCATTTTTTAAAAATTTATTATTAATTTCAATGAAGATTTACCGAGACTTTGGATTTCCATTCATTTATTGTTGCACTTTTCTCCGTTCCCAACCCTCCCCCCAGTACACTACCCTCTTGGAAAAGTAAAAGAAAAATTCTTTCATTGTTTTACAATCCCTCCCCCTACGTCCACTCCACTATACAGCCTTCACTCTGGACTCCTGTCATGACAGAAATACCTAATCACATATCCCTCTTAAACAGTTTTCCCCCTCATCTATTTCCATGCAGTCTACATAATTTATCCCATCTTTTTCAGTCTTCCCTGAAGCCCAACATCAGTCCTGTTTTACAACAGTGGCACCATGCAGTATTTGTCCTTTTATGACTGAGATACTTCACTCAGCATAATGTCCTCCAGAGTCACCCATTTTGAATAATATTGCACGAGTTTCTTGTTTTTCAATGCAGTGTAGTATTCCATTGTGTAAATATACCACAGCTTCTCTTTCCATTCATTCGTTGATGGGCATTTAAGCTGTTTCAACTCCTGGCTATTGTGAACAAAGCCATGATAAACAAGGGTTTATCGTCCATATATCTGCTTGGGTGTCAGTTATTGTCTCTTTAGGGTATATTTCCAGTAGCATTATTGGTGGGTCAAATGGTATTTCTTTTTGTAACTTTTTGAGAAAGTGCCATACTGCCTTCCACAGAGGTTGCACCATTTTACACTTCCACCAACAGTTTCTCCACAACCTCGCCAGCCTTTGTTGCTTGCTGGTCTGTTAAATTTTGCTGTTCTTACTGGGGTGAGATGATGATGTCTCATAGTTGTTTTGATGTGCATCTCTCTTAGAGCTAGAGATTTTGAACATTTCTTCAGGTACTTGTTAGCCATCTGAATGTCTTCTTTGGTGAAGGGTCTGTTCATATCCTGTGTCCTTTTTTTTTTTTAGAAAGATTTACCACCTCTGAAAATCTTCTGGATGGTTAAATATGGCTTCTTTTTGACTCAATGCCAAATGCTTGAGTTAAGTTTTATATGTCTCTGACTTTTGAGTCTAGGACTTTGTCAAAGCCTATGCTTAAAATATTCTTTTAGAATATGACCTTTCTAGTTATGGTTTTATATTATCGATGTAGTTTGAGAAGTCGGTAACTTTCTCTAGAAATAAGGAGATCAAAGAGACCTCTTCTTGGTTCATGAAAGACTCATGAATTGCATACTTTGATTTTTAAACTACAGGGGAAATATCAGAAACATGAATCCTTTGAAGCAGAGGTACAAGCAAAATCAAGGGTCATTCCTGAACTGGAAGAAATCAGGGAAGTCCGATTTGCTGAAGGGCATTTTGCCCATGAAGACACAAAGGTAAATGTATGGTAGGGCCCTTGAGCAGTTTGGAATTGTTTTTGTTATTAGATATTTGGTCTAACTAATACAGGATTAAAGCTGTATGTACTAGCCTGAAACAAGGGGTTCTGCCTCTTGTGTTCTATTGGAACTGGGTCAGGAAAAAAGAGACTCATTGTATTTCCTAACCTAATAACAACCACCTAGGACTGAAGAGAAGAGCTGTGATATAAAAGTTGACATTGTATGGTATATACATTTCCTAGAGTGGCTGTAATAAATTATCATAAACTGAGTAGCTTAAAACAACACAAACTCTAAATCAGTGTATTAGGAGGGCCAGGGTGTCTTCATATCTTCTTAAAGGGAATCCTTCTTTGCCTCTTAAAAATTCCAGAAGCTTCAACTGTTTCTTGGCTGATGACAGTGCAACTCCACTCTATATCTGTGTTGTCACATGACTCTCTCCCTTCTGTGTTTTTGTTCTCTGCTCTTCTTCTAAGGACATCAGTCATATTGTATTTGAGCCCACCCTAATTATCTCATTTTAACTTGGTTAAAAAATTGATTGTAAAGACTCTTTCCAAATATGGTAACATTCATAAGTATTGAGGGTTTTTAGACTTCAACGTCTTCTAGGGGAACACAGCTAAACCCATCATAGATTACAGTGTATCCCTCTGTATGCAACTATAGAGTATTTTGGCTCTAAGGTTATTTCACATTTTCCAGGTGAATTGGTGTTTATATAATTGGTGTTCCAACTAGTTCTTCTACTATTAAGGTATTTTCTCCTTACTTCTAACTTAAAACAGGTGATCATAGGGTGATTCTAAGATGTCAGTATTACAGGTTTTTCCTGATAATGTAAAATTGCTTCCTCAGTTATGACTGTTTCTGGGAGTCCATTATAAAGATGTAGATGATAGTGTTTCTTAATACCTTTTAGAAGCACACTATTATATCTTGTATCTTGTTAAGTGTTATGACAACGACCTTTTGGGCATAGATTAGAAAATCTTCATGTGACAGATCTCAGAGAAAAGGAATACCATCCTTGTAGTATATGGCCAAAACAGCAATTAAAGTTAAAGGCACTGGCATTTGGAAAGGTAACACATAGACCCCAGAATCATGCCCAGGCTTAGCTTTAAAGTACAGTTGAGGCTTTAATTTTACACAACTCTATTTGCACATAAACCAAATGTCTCTGATTTTAGGCTTTACAGAAGAGTAGATATTAATCATAAAGAAGAAAGTAAGGAAAAAAACAATTTCAAAACATGTTCTTTGGTATCAAATAGAAATAATTTTTGCAGTATGTATGACTTTGTATTTTTCATATTAACGGAAATATTTGAGAAATGTTTAAAATGTCCTCATATCTATCAGAATCAACTAGTAGACATATGATCATGGTATACCAGACTGTACCATTGCAGGGTTTGGAGGGAAAAAAATCCTGTCTAATATATTTTGGGTATATTATCAGGAGCAACCAGACATTGGAGTAGGACATCATGTTAGGAAAAATGGAGGGATAGTTCAGGAGAGGACGGGATGGACTGACACAGTGACTGTGGCAATGAGGTCAGTTCTGTCAGAGATGATGAGTCTGTCTCAGGATGAGGCAACATTGTTGACTTGACAACACATAACAGCAAAACAACATATTTTAATCAAAAGAGTGAAAATTGTAGTATCCTTGAAATCATGACAGAGGTGTTAACTTCAATTCTGCAAGATATGTAATAGATGATTGTCTGAGCTAACTTGGTTTTCCAAGTCCTTCAACTATATAGTCTCATCATATTCTTACTGCTTTTGTCCTTCTGATCTCCTTATTACTATATCTGTATTCAGCCCCTGCCTCCCTTTCTGAAAATGGTTAATGCTTTCTTATGTGTTGTTGCAAGTGTTGTTTGCTATGGTTAGAAAACTTGAAGCCTGTCATATGCCTTTCTTCAAACCCCAATTCAAATTAGTTCTCTTTCATAAATTCTTCCTTGCTAGCCTATTGTTTGATATCACAGAAAACCTCAAAACATTTTTTTCTCTAATGAAATGCATATTTGACTTGATGTAATAAGAGTTTCCATACATATATTTTCTAGATACTTAAACACTTGTTAAACAATTAATGCATGAATGACTAGAAGAGGAATGTTCATCCAGGTCTCTCTTTGTCCAAGTCTACCTACATCACAGTTTGTGTGGTTAAATGGTTCTGTCTGACTTCCTCAAAGGCTCATCTGGAAGAGCTGCGCCGCCTCTGGAACCTACTGTTAGAGCTGACTCAAGAGAAAGGTTACCTGCTGCTACAGGTTCTGAAACTCCAGAAGTACTTACAAGAGTGTGCTGATATCTTAGAGTGGATTGGAGACAAGGTATAGGACTAAACACCTTTATTTAGGACCTCCTACCCCACTGCATTTTACTAGAAGTTATTGGCAAAGAAGTCAGAGTCCATTTCTGGGCTTCTCTTCTTGGAATGGGGATTTTGACAGTAATTTGTGCCTGTCTTGGAGATTCTTCACCTTGTACAATATGAGTCCAAATTTGTTAATCAGAATAAAGAAAAAAGATTCTTGTAAAGACAATGAATCTAATTGTGATCATTGATTTTTGTTCTTACTCTGGGACCAGACTGAAAAGTTAGCATCTACAGAATTCCTTTACTTTTCTAAATGCTTAAAAAAAATAATCTTAGCGTTAGAACTGAAGATTTATCTAAGCGGATGTTTAGCACATAGCTTTTTTAGATATTCAGTATGCTGAATTGAATAAAGTCAGGATAAATTTATTTGTTAGTTCCAAAACACATAAATGATGCTTCCACAAGACTCTCACCAACAATACCCTGGTATTTCTGAAGGATTACCCCAAAGCACACTGCCTCTTGGATCAGAATAGCACACACTTTGCCTTTACATTTTCCTCATATATGTTATACCAGACTCCAGTCCCATTGCTGTATAAGTTATTTTGGGAATGTAGGCTAGTGTCTTGAACATTTGACCTGTTAAAGTCCTAATAGTTTCATGGTGACTCAATGTTTTCTACATCTTTAGGAGGCTATAGTAACATCAGTGGAACTGGGTGATGACTGGGAACGTACAGAGGTTCTACATAAGAAGTTTGAAGAGTTTCAAGTTGACCTAGCAGCTCGGAAGGGGAGAGTGGATGGAGTGAACCAATATGCCAATGAGTGTGCTGAGGTGAGGTTTAAATAATAGAGTCATTCCAAGATAATGTTCTTGTCTCTAAGGAGATTCGTAACCAGTAGTAAGTGGAATTGGGGGAATGTAAGAAGAAGAAAAGAGAGGGGTGCACGCATCTAGCTCCTATATTATGTAAGTCACAGATGATTTGTACTTAAGCAACACTATTTCTTCTTGAAAAGAAAAAAAATTAAGTATCAGAGAGTTATAAAACAATGTTAAGCTTCAAGAGATACTGTACCATTTTTAAAGCAGAAGGGGAGGAAAGGAGGCGTATTTTCTTATATAGACATACATATATACAAATTGCTATAATGCATATTTATATAATTTACATTTAATATATAAAATAGGAAAATATATTTATGGAGGGAATGATATTTCCATACTATATAATGAATATTAGAGATAAATGGTTACTGTAGTAGTTAAAATAACTCATGTATCCTACTTTCTACCTAAGTTGTATTTCTAATAGAGTCTAAATTTGCCTTTTCTCAACTTCTCTTTGGTAAAGTTTTATCTATTACTATCTACCAAGCCTTCATAAAATGTTAAAAAACCAACCATATTATTTATTCATCATTTGGTTGATCTTATATTGAAAATACTCAGTTCATAGTTCTCCTGGCCTCACCTGGTGTTCTCTTATAGCTAGTGTTACTTGGTGCCACAATTAATATGAAGGCCAAACATATTTGGATCTTGGAAGGGAAACTGAAAGTCTTTCCATACAGTTTTTCGTCATTCAGTAGACTGTTCTTTCTACATAAGTGTCTCAATAGGGTAAAAGCAAAAACTGAAAATGCCTTTTGAGGTTTAGGTTCCAAAGGTCATAGAATATTATTTCTTTATCATTGCGTTGCTTAAAGTAAGACACAAAGCCATTCAAGAGCTAAGGGCTGAATAAAAGAAATTATACCTATTGATACAAGTTGTCATACCGCAGTCACTTGTGGTTGCTGTGAGGCTGAACACTGTGACACTGATGTGTCAAATGAGTTAATGGCTGGTTACCCAATGCGGACAGAGAGTGGGGTGGAGCTCCCGATTTAAACAAGCCTGGAAGGAGAAGTAGCATCCACTTCCGTAATAGCTTGCCTCCAAAAACCCTATGAACCTGGAGAGAGGATGAAAGGCACCCAAGAGTCAAGGACTCTCTTTCATAGGGTCACTATGAGTCGCATGCAACTTGATGGCACTTAACAACAACAACATACTTATTGAAAGGAGGCAAAAATAGCATGACACCAGAAAGTAAATGCCAGTACAGCTGGAGGAAATTGTCTGTTCTTTTGTAGTGGGGCCTATTCACCTACAATAGAAAAGACCAACCACTCAAGAAGAAGAATATGGACATTTTGTGTGGAATTGTGACAATGACAATGCAAATAAATGGGAACAAGAGGAACAGGGAGATTTGAACATATAGGAACTCGTAAAACTTTTCAACTAGCTAAATTCTGACGCAGAAAATTTAGCTTAGGGTTCTTGGATCCTATTTCTTCAAATGGTTTATGACTATGACTGAAATACTTCATTTTCTGTCATGAAAACTATACTCACTGGACTCACAAATGTGCCAAGAGTACAAAAATACTAAGAGGCACAGTCCTAATAGTTTGGAATATCAAATCAGATTTCATAAAGGGAATTATTTCTTTAGTTTCCAGAATTCTTGAAGTATTTGACAGCCATTACCAAGATTGTTGAATTCTGAAAATAATCTTGTTTGTTGTTGCTATATAGCATTGAGTTGGAACCAACTTGTAGCTGACCCTCCAGCAAGTAGTAAATTGCACTGAAGGAGATTGCTTATCTTTCTCGATTCAAACTGCCTGCCTTTGAGGTTGGAGTAACTCTTTACCTTACAAGGTCACCAAAGTTCTCTTAACTCACCAGAGTGAACTAAAATGTGATTAAATGCTTTCTAGTGTAAGATCTTTGTTATGCAACTTCAGCATTGCTTTCCATCCACAGGAGAACCACCCTGAGCTGCCTTTGATTAAGTCAAAGCAGGATGAGGTAAATGCTGCCTGGGAGCGTCTCCATGGACTGGCACTTCAGCGACGCAAAACTCTAACTGATGCTACAGACATACAGCGATTTAAAAGGTAAAGACTTAACCAATGCATTTGGTAAAATTCTGAAATCACACCACACTTGTTACTCTTTTATTAACTTCTACATACTTCTCCAAGTGATTAGTTACTAATATTCCAAACAAAAGGATTATATGCTTGCCTATGGGACTTCAAATCAAGAGGTATTTAAAAAACAAAATGAAAAACAACTGTAACTTTTACTGTGTTCAAGTTCATGGAGCTTGGAACCTAAAGTTGTAAATGTTGTGGAATAATTAGTTATAAAATATCTGAAGAAGCAAAAAGAAAAAGAAAAATATAGGTTAAGAATTGGATGAATGTAAAGGAAGAGAGTTGGAAAGAAAGGCATTTATGAAAAGTAGACCCAGGCATGAGTAGAATCTCTAGAGTCGTAATTATCAGTAGGCTTCGTTCTCTAATATCTCTGTGAAAATTTCTACCAAGAAAATAATCCTTGTATTACTCTGCTAATATATAAGAAGGCAAAGTAGTTAAGCAAACTAGGGCAGTTGCAAACTGCTTTGCTCTGTTGATACTGGAATACAGTTAGTTATTTTTGTTGGAGTTCACATAACTGTCTTGCAGGGATGTGACTGAAGCCATCCAGTGGATCAAGGAGAAGGAGCCTCTTCTCACCTCTGAGGATTATGGCAAAGACCTTGTTACTTCTGAGGCCCTGTTCCACAGTCATAAGGGGCTTGAGCGGAATCTTGCAGTCATGGAAGACAAGGTAAGCCACTACTTGAAGAACGGTATCTTACTGACCTATATAAAAGGCATCTTGTTTAGACTATGCCTTCAGAGGGCATGCTGTTGTTGTTGTATGTCATTGAGTCAGAACTGATCCTTAGTTAACCCCCAAGCAGGTTTTTAGATGCAGTAAATCACAAGGGAGAAGATTGCCCATCCTTCTCCCACGAAGCAGCTTATGGATTCAAACCAAAATGAAGGACAAAGTCTATGGCACTTAGATATACCGTATCATTCTGTTCTGTTATATAAGTTTTTGTTTAATATTTTAATTTTTGTTTACTGATTGTTCTATAGAGTTTTAATCTGATACAGGTCACAATAAAAAAATGTTATCTCCAAGGATAGTTTTCTAATATTATTCAGCAAAATACTTTTATAAACAGGACATTTTTTTCTCATTAAACTTACTACAAATTTTTTTTTCTATTGTAATTTTGTTCAATTTCTTTTTTTCCTAATAGAGGAAGCATTTCCTTTTTGCCTTTTTGTTAAAAACTTTAAGATACTTAAAGATTACTAAATGCATTGTTGAGTTTCCTTCTAAAACCTGGTAAGTCCCAGTTCCTTATGGTTCCTTATGTTCCTTATAGATAGGATTAGAACTCGAAGCACATCTATATTCTTGAATGATTCTCATCCTTTATTTCTTCCTTCAGAATTGTGTCCATAAGTTAAGCCAATTTCTAGTGAGCTCCTGCAAGGAAAACTATCCACAGGCATATCCATACTTACTGTCTTTTCATCATAGTTCTATGTCAGTATATATGTGTTCTAAAAACTGTTCCACTGTTCTGCTTCTCTCATTCTCCATATTTTGGCCTTTCTTTCCTAACCACTTGATATTGAAAAATCAAGTCTTGGACAACACTTGGCTGTCACTAAATATAATGATATGTAATTTTAATTGCACCTAACAACTCTACCAACATAATGAAAGGATATAATGGTAGCAGATAGAAAGTCAATCTTGTCTACATATTTGTCCTAGAAATGATATTCCTCAAGAATTATGCTCAAAATTATCTGACATGACTGGAATTTTTATAGACTACTGGGAAAAAGTGTGTTTGTGATCCACACATTAATGCATAGGGGGAAAGTACCAAGAGGTGGTGGAGGACAAGCTTGTACCTAAAGCTTGCTTCTGACACTTACTGGTTGAGCAAATAAATTATTTGTTTTCCCATATATAGAAGGGAATTAAAAATAGTATTTTTCTCATAGTATTGTTAAATGTTAAACATTAAATGAAAACAAACATGGAGGGTACTTAGAACAGTGTTGGACAAATTATACCTATTAAATTGCTTTTATTAATACATAAAATACATTAATATGAAATATTTATATTATTATTTTTTAAAAAATATATTCTTACTCTTGTACATCACATATACACATATCTGTTTGTTAAGAGGAATGTTTGGATCTCTTACTAAATTCTTCTTTATTCCACAGGTCAAGGAGTTGTGTGCAAAAGCAGAGAAGCTGAATGTCTCCCATCCTTCAGATGCACCTCAGATTCAGAATATGAAAGAGGATCTGGTCTCCAACTGGGAATACATTCGTGCCTTAGCTACTAAGAGATACACAAAGTTACAAGCTTCTTACTGGTAAGAAAGCCCTCTTTCCTATTCCTTACCTATCTCTATGGGACCTGAGCATAATATCCAAAGCTGAAATAAAGAGTAAAGGGAGTGGAATAATCAGAGGTCTATGCCACTTGGCTCTTAAGTAGGGACAAAAGAAGTTTCTCTTTATCAACAGAAATCCTTTGCAGGCTCTTAGCATCACACCTCCCTTCACCTGTCAACTTCTTTGTTCTCCTCGTTGTACAGTGTGGGTGACAATGAAGTGACCCAGAAAGAAGAATTTCAAATTTCAAAGCCCTGACTCTAGTTAGAAAACAAAAATAATGTTGAAGCTGGATGCCATCAAATTTGTCAAAAATTGTTTCATGAATGTGGGTTAAAATCTTACAAAAATGAAGCAGTAGTTCATTCTACTTAGTTGTTAAATTGACAGAAGATAGTATTTCATTATAATTTAAAACTTGATGGAGGACATTTAATTTTGATTAATAAGAACTTTGTATTATTATTATTAATAGGATTAAATGTGAGCTAAGTAAGATATATGAGATCTTCTAACTGTAACACTGCCAAATAAGCAAACAAATCTGTCTTGAGGATGTGCAGGCATCCTTACTCCTTAGAGGCATGGGTGATTAAATTTCATCTCACATATTTTGGGCATTTTGCCAGGAGGGTCCAGTCTTTAGAAAAAGACAACATGCTGGGAAAGATAGGAAGTCAGAGAAAGAAAGAAAGATCCTTAACAAGATGACTGGGCGAATGAATGCAGCAGTGGGTTTGAACAAGGCAGAAAGAGTGAGGACTGCTGTAGGATAAGGCAAGGCTCAGATCTGTTTCCAGGGTTAATAGGAGTCTTAGTTTACTCAGTGGCAAACTATACCTAGTGTCGCTCTAGCTTCCCTCTCCTACAAGACGCTCCCTAGTACTTACCAGGCATGAATTTACTTACTAGTGAGCACTTAGCTCCATTTCATGCAGACTTCAGTAATACTGAGGATAAATTGCAAGATCGTTCTTTGTGGAGGAAAGTAAAAGAGAAACTTACCTTCATTTACTTAAGAAAATATGTTTCAAACTCTGGCTATACAAAGACTAATCGTAGGATAGAGAATAGAGCCGCAGATAGAGACAAATAGATATCATGAGAATTCCTGGATGGTAGTAATAGCGCAAATGACTATCAAACGAAAGGTGAGAGTTAGGAGCTCACCCAATGGTGCTTCACAAGAAGTGTCTTGTGACCAGATTCTGGGAGGTAAAGAAAGAAAAAAATAAAAATCAGCCATTAAAAGACCCTACAAAGTACAGTTCTGCTGTGAAACACATGAGGATGAGTCAGTATGAATCGGAGTTGATAGCAACTGGTTATAATTATAAAAAAACCAAAACCAAACCAAAAGCCTTTCTAGTGTCCTCTCATTTCATTATGACTACAACTGTAGAGTAGGAATGATCTCTATCACAGACACGAGTTTCTGGTGCTGTGGTAGCCATATAATTATGGTCACATATCTCATTATACCCATCAATGTATCCCCCTAGGGATGTATAAAAAGGAATTAAACATTAATAGTCCCCACCACTCAGGAAAATTGACTGTTAAAAACAGGAAGTGCATCAGAGGACTAATAAAAGGGGCGTTGGTGAGAATTAGGAGACTCTGGCCCAGTTTAACAGATCTCAGTCCTAATTCTCTACTCAAAATCCTTTTTAATTTGGTTTCTCCTTCTTGTCATTTTATTATCTTTCTCACAGGTACCAGCGGTTCTTATCTGATTATGATGAACTCTCAGGCTGGATGAAGGAGAAGACTGCCCTGATCAATGCTGACGAGTTACCTACAGATGTGGCAGGTGGGGAAGCCCTACTGGACAGGCACCAGCAGCATAAGGTACAGATAGAAACTCTTGCCATTCAGAGGAGGTCAGTAGTAACCAGATTTCTTGCTATATTTTGACATATTTTATCCTGTGGCCACAGCATGAGATTGAATCTTATGATGATCGATTTCAATCTGCTGAGGAGACTGGTCAAGACCTGCTGGATGCCAATCATGAAGCTTCACAGGAAGTTGAGGAAAAGGTACCCAATTTGACAGTTTGTAAAATTTCTATGTTATTATTTCTTAAATACATAATAACATGGTAATCTTCAAATAATAAAAATGTAGAAGTTATCTAAACATGGTAGTAGTACGACCCAGTTTACACACAATTGTGCTTTAGCTAATCGGGAGAGATGTGCTTTGTGCTGTTTTTTGCTTCTGTGTTCTGTGGGGGTTTTTTTGTTTTGTTTTTGTTTTTTTTAAAATCAACTCCCTGACTTCTATCTAATTTGAACTCCTTATTTCATTTTACTAGGTCACATGCATTCTGTCATATCACTTTTCCATTTTTATCACTAATTGTACATTCCATGAGGACTCCATCTGTGGGAGGCCTATGGTGCCTTGCACAGTGCAAGGTACATTTTAGGCACTTGTATTTATTTCCTTTTCTCCTCTGTACACTCAAAATAAGGTTATTTTTCACTTCTTGTTCTGATATTTAAATTCAATAAATAGGGAATTTTAAATATTCAGAATACAGCTCAGTATCTTAATTGTGCTCCCCTCACATAGGCATTCCATGAAATTGAATATATATATATATACACACACACACACACACACACACACATAAAAGAAGATTTTTAGTCTTTTTTTTTATCTCACTAGTTTCCAAGTACAGTGTTGAATACTGTATAATGGATAAGGTTGAGATAATCATGCATGTAGTAGATTCCTCCAGAACTCTATTAAACATAAAGTACTTTTTTAAAAAAACAATAATTTTCTTCAAAAGGATTAAATGGAATACTTGATAATTTGACCTATTTATTAATCTGGAATTCTAAAAGTCCATGCTGTCTTTTTTATGAAGTTAACAGAGTGCAATACAAACTGAGATTTCATAGGATTTCTTGAACTGCAGTCAAGAGGGTTTTTGTATGAGTTGAGAATGATCTATTTTCTCTATCTTGGCACTTATTTGCTTTCAGGATAAAACTTCTCAGTTTGGCATTGTAAGTGCCATGTTAACTTGAGTTTAACCTAATATGAATGAAGACTTTGGAATCTAGACTTTTTTTCTTTGAAGTATACTGTATAATCTAACAGTTATTTCCATTTCCAATAATATCATTAGCTCATGAACCACATTCTTTTTACAGTCTTTATTTTCATCACTCTTTAAATCTCTGTTTGGATGATCCTTCTTATATGCCAACTACCTGGTCCTTCCAAGAAGAACGACTTTTTTCTTCTTCCTATCTACATATTTAAGAGCCTTAGGTTTCTTTTACAGTATTTGTACCATTATGCCTATACTACAACTATTTGCTTAGATGTTAAAAGTCTTCACAGAAAAGCTCATTTCCTGTTCAACTCTGTATTCTTCAAAAAGCCTTGCACTCCTTAGATATTCAGTTCAGTAAATGTAGAATGCATCAAATTAACTACATTCCCATTACATTCTCTACCCTTTTCCAAAGATGACAACACTTGCCAACAATCGGGAAGCCCTGATGGGACTGTGGCACACGCGTCAGAATCAATATGAGCAGTGCTTGGATTTGCACCTGTTCTACCGAGACAGTGAACAAGTAGACAGCTGGATGAGCAGACAAGAGGTAAAAGGATAAGACCATACCATCCTTTCAATTCATTTCTGCCACCCTTCCGTATGACTGAGACCATCATCATCACTTTCATGACCATTTTTCTTGATTAGAGCTTTACCTGGGAATTAGGGAAGAAAAACTGGTGGGCACTTTCTATAAGAAGCTTCATATTTTCTCATGAACAAAAAAATAGAGGAATATCTAAATATAGTAGCTATTATTAAGTAAACAGAGTAGCTATTATTGCAATTGAATATAAATCAAAGTGAATGTCAAATTGCTAAAATGTCAGAAAGTGAAAACAGTGGTGTGTCATAGAAGGATAACCAGGGAAAGACTTATGAAAGAGGAGTGGTCTTTTTGAGGTGGCTTTGAGACATTTGAATAGCGGCTACATTTTAATGAAAGGAATGATGTGTGGGTAGACCCGGAGGCACAGGTAAAAAGTTGCATGACTAGAATGGGAGGAAGTTTTTAAGCTTTAGGTATTCATGTTTTCTCTCTACATATAATCTATGTCTTGCTAAATCTAAAGATTCTCTCCCACTCCCTCACCTTTTCCTTATTCTTTGTCTCCAGAAGATTTGAAGGCTCTTGTCTTTTACCACTGAGGCACATCTGCAAAATGTTTTTCTCTCCTACAGGCCTTCCTGGATAATGAAGATCTGGGAAACTCTCTGGGAAGTGTAGAGGCCCTTCTTCAGAAGCATGATGACTTTGAGGAAGCATTTACTGCCCAGGAAGAGAAGATTACAGTAAGAAATAAGTCCCACTTGGTTATTGGGATCCAGGTTTTTATGACTCATCTCAAACAGCACATACTGTCTTTAGTTAAAACCAGCATATAATCGTTAATGATCTCCCTGAGTGTGGTAAGCAATTAACATGCTCAAGACACTAACCAAAAAGTTGGCATCTGAGACCATCAGAGGCACATCAGAAGAAAGACCTGGCAAGAATTAGCCATTGAAAACCTTACAGAGCACAGCTAAAGTAAGTTGGAATAGACTCAATGATTTTGTTTAATAACCTCTAAGCTTTACAAAAAGATTATTCTTAAAAGAGAAAAATGAGTTCATGTCCATTCTCAACAACACACTTTTAAATTTATAAAGCATATTTTTAAAGATTTTCAAGATGTCAGTCTATTTATGTTCTATATATATTTGTATTATATTCTTATCTATATGTTTTCATCATTATGCAGTGAAGAAAAGAAATCAAGTACATATTTGATATAAAATAATTATTCAGGAGTTTGAAATATCTTTCTTAGGTATTTTAAAGTACTCTTTGCTCAACAGTAATAATTTTCCAGCCATCATGCATCTGTGAGTTTGTCATACTGTAATGACTCTTTTAGGCAAATCTACTATAAAAGAACTCATTAAAATGTTAAAAACATAAATGTCACTTGGAGGAACAAGGTATGTCTAATCTCAACCATGGTATTTCTGTTGACCTCATATTAATACAAAAACTGGAAAAAAGGAAAAGAAAAAAAAAAGTTATGCATGTGAATTACAGTTCCGGCAAAGAACAATGAGCATGCTATGGACTGTCAGTAGAATGAATAAACAGCTATTTCTTGGTAGAATTACAGCCAGACTGCAAAAAATGGTGAGACTTTATCTCACCTACTTTAGACATGTTATAAGAAGGGGTCAGTCCTCGGAGAAGGATATCAAGCTTGCTAGAATACCAAGAAAAGAAAAGGAAGACCCTGTATGAGATGAACTGACCCCATGGCTTTAATATCAGGCTCAACCAAAGAATCAATAGCAGGAAGATAGCACAGAACTAGGCAGTGATATTTATTATCTCTATTTATAACACATTACCACTTTCATTGGAGCTCTGGTAGTCTAGTGGTAAGGACTCTGCTGCCAACCCAAAGACACAGTTCAAATCTACTAGTTACACCATAGGAGGAAGATGGACAATCTCCTCTCATGTGATTTTCTGCCTCTGATAACTTGCTAGAGGGTCAGCTATGCTTGACAATACTTAACAATAATATTACTTTCATTATTATTATTATATTTCTCTTCTAATGTTACTACAGCTTTCCTGTAACATTTACATTATAACATACAGGAAAACTAGTAAATATACAAGCAGTGCACAAAATACTATGAGGGAAATTTAAGAAGTTCAATATATTGTATAGATTTTTCTTTCTCATAGGATGATACTGGCTTTAAACTCTCATACACGTAGTAACCAACACCAACACCAGCAGCAGCAGCAGAAGAACAACAACAATAATCAGTTATATAGTCTTTACTACTAGTCATCAAGCAACATGGAGCTTATAATGGTTATTTGTAAATCTTGATATTTGGTGACCTAGTGGTAAGAAACTGCTGCAATCCCCAAGGTATGTGGTTCAAACCCACCAGCTGCTCCATGGGAGAAAGAGAGGCAGTCTCCTCTGTATGATTAAACTGTCTCTGAAAACCGGGTGGCCCATCCTGACTCAATGATACACAACAACAATAAAAGATAATTGTGTCAAATAACTGAATGAAAACCACTTTTTTTTTCAGACCTTAGACAAGACAGCAACCAAACTGATTGATAATGATCATTATGATTCAGAGAACATTGCTACTATACGAGACTCGGTATGTCCAAGGTCCAAGTATTTCACTAACCTGTCTGTGTGCTTGGTTCAGAGAAAGTGCTGGGGTCATGGAGACAAGGGCAGGAAGTGAAGTTCTGATGCTCATGTTTGGTTTTGCTGACAATGAGGTTGTTCATGGCCTTTTGCAGTTGTTGGCCAGGCGGGATGTCTTACGTGAAAGGGCTGCCACTCGACGTGGAATGCTGGAGGATTCATTGCTTCTGCAACAACTGTATCAGGACTCAGATGACCTAAAGAACTGGATCAACAAGAAGAAAAAGTTGGCAGATGATGAAGATTACAAGGTAGGTAGGGTGGTCCACTCCTGGACACACTTATTAGGTGTTAGTTTCATGGAATTAGAGTCTTGAATGTGAATGAGGGATTCATCAAAGAAGTTTCAGTCACATCACTTAAAGTAGAAATAAATGTTAGAAGTTATTAGCTATGGAAGCCATGCAGCTAGAAAATGAGACGTGTGCAATGCATTTCCAAAGTAATTTCTAGCTCTGTATTCAGACTAGGACAGTCTTCTCTTGGATGCTAACGTTGATGCAGCTAGATTCATAGTGAGAAATAAATCTTTGTCTTTTTGGCCTCTCATTTTTCAAGCAATGATATTATTCTTTTAATTTATCCTGTTTCAGGATATACAGAATCTGAAAAGTCGAGTACAAAAGCAGCAAGTCTTTGAAGAAGAATTGGCAACTAATGAAATTCTACTCAATAACTTGGAGAAAACTGGCAAGGAAATGATTGGGAGAAATCACTATGCTTCTGACAAGGTGGAGGTCCGTTTGAATGAAGTTGTCAGTCTCTGGAAGGAATTGTTGGATGCAACAGCACAAAAAGGTAAGATGCAGAGATTTTGGTAAAGTACCAAGTCCTAAATTCTGAAGCTTAGTTATTCTAAATTCGCCACCATGAATTTACCTGGTGACCTCCAGCCAAGAAGTTCTGAAGGTCCAATATAAACTCATTACATAATATTTTA